ATCTTTCGTGATATGATCGGCGTGAGGCGTTGAATTTCTGAGGGGTTTTAATCCGGTGGCCGGGTTTCCCCTTTACTTTTGGTTTGTCGTTGTGTTAAGGTTTTTCAAACGTATTTTCGACGCACTAGAGGTTCTTCACTGGCGTAAAGAACCAGGGAGGGTGTTCGTGCGTAGAAGTAGATAGTTGAAAAGTAGCCGTTACGTAGGACGCAGCTGGGACAACTTGAAGGGTATGTGCTGAGAGGCTTTGGATGATAGTGCGGAGTCCCCGTGTTCTCTCGAGAATTGGGGCCTCTCCTCCTTCTCCCTCTCTCCTCTCTCATGCGAGCTAATACACACAGTTAAACAGCAGCCCCAAGTCCGCCGGCCCTTAACAGGGCTAGGGCTCACGAACAGGAGAAACAGAGCAAACAGGACAAAGAGGCGGCAGATGGGCAGACAGCCAGACGTACAAAAACAAAGGCAACAGCAAAGCGAGATCAAGGTACCCAACACAGCAAAGTAGGCAGGGAGGTCATGAAAAAAAGAAACAGCACAGAGGCCGAAGGCAATACAACGGACATACGTACATAAAGGAGGAATCTCCTCGGTGCCTTACTCGCCACTTCTCCCGATGGCAAGTTACCCCGAGGAATCATATATTCCTTATAAGCATCAGCAGGGAAGGAAACAGGGCGCAACAACATCAGCCGGGTACATAGTTCGCCACAAGTGCTCCCTCGGCGGCCCTACTCGCTTCTACAGCAGTGCCCGGTCGCCGTTTCTTCCCCCCCACCGCCGCTTCTCCGTCTCTCTTTCTCTTCGGTCCTGAGATGGCCATACTCTCTGCTTCTGCTTCCCTCGCGCGCTGGCGCTTCGCGGACGCTTCCGCCTCCTGCATGTGCCAGTTCCTCATGAACCATGCCGCCCCGTCCTCGACCTTCTTGTACCACACCTCCGGGTCCTTGGCGCTCTCTTTCCATTTCCCCCCTCCTTTTTCGTCTCCCATGTTGAAGGCCACGAAGTCCTCTCCTAGACGAGACACCCAGTTGCTCTCCTGCCCACCCCGGTATCCCACGCCCCCCGCCATCGCTCCTAACAGCTTGCGCTTGGGGAGGCGGCTGTCGTCCATGCGCATAACAAAGCCCGCGAAACACGTCTCCGTTTGCGCACGGTGGCCTCGATGGTTTCCTCGCAGCCTGCCTGGATGAGGGCCTGGGCATAGGACAGGGGGCGGTCTGAGCGTTTCCGCTTGCTCCAGCCGATGCACCGTGTAAGGAACTGGCGGTGGGTCCCATTGAGCTTCGTGTAGTGCTCCGCTGTTAGGCTCCACGAGGCGCACCCATACAGGAGAGTCTCCACCACTTCAGCCTGGAGTAGCCGTATCTTGAGCTGGCGGTTGGCCCGTCGCCTGTCGTACATCGAAGCACTGTTCCGG